GAGCTGGAGACGCGGGCGCCAGGACTGGAACACGAACGTGCCCGCTCGGGGGGCCGGGCCGAGGAGGGGGCGTCAACCTCGCCTTCCCGCCTGAGCCCCTGCCGGGCCTGAGCGCCAGTGTCTGCCTAGCCCCTGTCCTCTGCCCTAGGCCCTTGATGCCCACCTGAAGGAATCCAACGGAACCCAGGTCACTGGCAGGAAAACCTGGAATTCCAGACGGGAAGAAGGGTGGAAAACGGTCCCCCATGGTACCCAAACCCAACCCGACCACGCCCCTGCCGCCTAAGGGCCAATCCCTGATGCAGGACACCCTCCCCAGGCCACCTTCCACTAGCACCCTCCCCAGGGACGTTGTTAGTGAGTAGCTGAAGGTCTCAGGGTCCTCTGCCCGACCATTAATGCTTCATACTCCCCGCTCCCCCAGCAGTCATCGCCCCCTTTGGGGTGTGTGTCTATCTGTCTTCCCCCACCCCCCTCAGAAACACAAGGTCTCAAGCAAGGAAGCACGGAGGATGAGTCTGAACCGGCTGATGTATTTAGTGCTCACAAAAGCATCTGCAAGAAAAGTCGTTTAATTGGGACCAGATCCTCTGTGGTTTCAGTGGCATTAAAACAAGATGGGCTTCCTCTAGGGAAGGGTTGCTGGCAACAGGAAGAGGGCATGGAAAGTTTGGCTTTTTTCTTCCCGGAGCTTTAAGGGGAAAAGGCCCCTGTACCTTTATTGACATACCAGATAGCAGCGTGCACATGTACACTGAGAGACCCTCCCACATGCCCAGTTCATAGACCCAGCCTGTGTGTGTGCGCACACACAGTACTGTCAATTCCACTAAGACAAGATGTGGAAGTCTCAGGAGCAGGCCTGTTCCTTTTCTCTGGAGTTCACCCCATGGATGCTTCCTCGGCTGCCCAACCACTGTTCTGCCCTGAGCCCTGGCAAAGGGCTGGCATGTAGTGGGTGCTCTGTGCACTTGGCAAATGACAGGATACCCTGGAGACAGGCCTTGGCCCTGAGCTCCACATACCTGTATGGAATTGCCTTCTAGATGTCAGCCTGGCTGTCTGACAGCCAACCTGGTGGTCAGCTACTCACCTGTCAGATGTGAGGTTGGCTGGCTCCTCCCACCATGTTCTGACTCCACCCACTACCCCCCTCCCCCTGGATGGCTCAGCTGCCTCCACACTGGCTCCCATCTTCTGCCCTCAGGTCCCCAGTAAGTCTGTGCTCCATCAGAGCCCAGGGACCCCTCTGGGCTGAATCCCCTCATGTGACTACTCTGCTCAGCAGTCCACAGTGGCTCTCTGATTCCTTCAAGGGCAGAGGCAAAGGCAGCTGTCCTGCTGTCTCCCAGCCTCACCCTTCCCTCAGTCTGCCCCCCCCCCGACCAGCTTGATGTTGCTAAGCCCTTTCCCGCCTCGACCTCAGCACTGTCTGTCCCTCCTTTTTGGAGGACTCTTTGCTGGAGCTCTTTTGGAGTGGTTGCCCCCACTACATTCACATCTCTACCCAAATGTCCCCATCTGACCCCCTGTCGAAAACGTCGCTCCAACCTGTCACCATGGCCAACCCCTTCCTTTCCGATGGGATCCCTGTACTCCCACTGGTAGGGGCTCGGGTCTTTCAGTAAACAAAGAATGCATTTTCCGGTCCTCTCTTGGTGAGAACCTTGAGGGACAAAGGACATTGCTTTGGCATCCTCTGGGCTGCCAATCTGAGTCCCGACTTGTACAGGGTATGTGTGCACGCGTGTGGGGGTGCTAGGCTAATGCAAGGGAAGGGGAGGGAGGAGCAGGAGTCCCTTGCTTGACCTTAGAATCCTGGGATTGTGCGGTTAGAGATGACCTTGATCATCAAATGCACTTCTTTAGGCCCCTTCCAGCTCTCAGTTTCTAGAACTTTCTCGGGAGCCTATTCCACCACATTAAGATGGGGATACTGAGGCACTGAGTAGAGAGGCTTGTTCCTGAGATCACATGGCGGGTCATCAGTCTGCGGCGGAGCTGGGAGCCCAGACTCTTTCCAGCAACCCTCGGGCTGCATCCCTGGTTCCTGGAAAATCCCAGCACCCCTCCCACCCTCTGCTCCAGACACCGGGCTCAGGATTCATGTTGGCCTGGGGCCCTGCCTGTCTCAGCACAAGTCCGTCAGTGAGCTCTTGGGAAGGGAGGTAGGAGGTGGGAGGGCGAGGCAGAAACTCGCTGGGAGCCTTAAGTTCTGCTGAGTCCCCTGAAGGCTGGCTCTGCCCCGTAGGTGGTTCCTTCAAGGTCCCCACAATGGCTGGGTGCCCCAAGACTGGACGGAGGAGGCCACAGGAGTACCCCTCCCCAGGCGCCCTCTCAGGCCAGCTGCTGGGCCCCCTCCCGGGAGAAGAGCCGCGTGGACCAGCCTCCTCAGGAGCTGGGGAGCTGAGAGCACCCCGGCCTCGCCCCATTCTGCTAGGTGGGTAGGAGGGGCGTCCCTCCCTCCTCCAGGCTGGCTGTGCCAGAGAAACCTGGGAGCAGGCTTTCCCCCACCCCCAGCCCAGCTAATGGGAACCAGATGGCAGGATGTTTAGTCAGCGCCTGGGGAGCGGCGCAAACAGGGGAAATGGGTAGGGGGCCAGGATTCCAGAATCCATCCCCAGGCAGGGGGAGGGGCACGACCAGGGTTCCCATCACAGTCCTTCCATCACAGTCCGTCTCCAGTGGCCCAGGCGCTGGACCCACCTCAGATGGGGTCCACCCCGCTTGCTCAGGCGATGCCTGGACCAGGAGGCAGGAGCCCTGGCCTCTGGTGTCGTGACTTGGGCGAGCCCCCGTTCTCCATTCTTTCTGTGTAAAATGAGGGGCTGGTTGTGTGTAGTCTTCCAAGTTCCCCGGACAAATGTCACTTGGTCTCGGTGTCACACTTCAGGCCTCCCATTCCTGAATGTCCCCCTCATCGGCTCTAGCAGCCTCCCCTCACACTGAATGCTGGGCCCAGGCCATCTGTGTCACTCACGGGTGCACAGGCAGACAGTGGCCTCATCTCTGGCTCCGAAGGCATTTGCTCACTCTCCAGACGGTCCCTGTCTCTGGTGTGTAGGTGGCAAAGTCCCAAATTCAGGTCATAACCCAGAACCCTGGACAGCAGGGAGGAGGAAGATGACAGCAGACCCCGTGTGGTGTGGCTCGCACCGTTCAGGGCCGTTCACTGGAGGGCAACGACGGTCATGACCCCCGCCATATCCCACACTCTCGGCCCTTCCCGGCCCCTTCCCCTCCTCCACCGCATCCCCTCTCCTCTCTACCCAAGCCTTGCCCACAATTAACTCATTTCTGAAGATCGCTTCCAAACCCAAGTCAACGCTGGACAGGGCTGTAGGAAAAGCTTCCTCAGTGCTGGCCCTGAAGAACCAAGCGAGGTGGTGAGATCAGTCCTCTCGGCCAGCCACCCCCTCCATGACTCCCAGAGCCCAGCAGGACACCCCTTCTTCTTTGCCTCTCACTCTGCTATGTGACCCTCTGCCCCCACCCGGAAGCCCCTTCCCTCAAGCCTGGGCTCCTTCCCACCTCACGCCATTCTGCCCCACTGGTGCCCTCTGACCAAGAGGGTGTGTGAGGCTCAGGGGATCTGGGACCCGGGACTCTTGGCCAAGAAGTCTAGGGAGACCTGCCCAGGCAGTACCTGGAGCACACAGGCCCCAATGCAAGAGCAGGATGGCTGCAGGACATCCAATCTGCCCCACATCACATTTTACAGAGGAGGAAACGGAAGCCCTGGGGGCAGGGAATCTGCCCAGAGGTAGGCAGAGCTGGTAGAGAAACCAGGAACCAGCCAGGTGTGGTGGTTCATGCCTGTAATCCCAGCAGTCTGAGAGGCTGAGGTGGGAGGATTGCTTGAACCCAGAAGTTCAAGACCAGCCTGGGCAACATAGGGAGACTTCATCTCGAAAAAATCAAGAGCCAGGAGCCAGCCCAGCGCAAAGCAGGCCTGTGCCCAAGTAGTGCTGGGGTTCTCGAGGGCCGGGAGTCTACACTCACTGCCCTTGCTCTGCCCCCCTGTTCTGTTTCCTCTGGAATTTGGAAGCCTCTGCATGGGCCCTCATGGCAGAAGTCCACAGGCTTTGGGCTTGGCCGGTTCCGTAAGGGCCAGACCCACCATTGTCTAAGTGGCCCTGGCACCTGCCTCCTCTCCCGGGGACCCAGGAGGCCCCGGGGCCCACTGCCTGCAAGACCTGGGCCCTCTCCTTTCCCAGCCATGGCAGTAAGACCTGGCAGCCTGTAGTGGCCGTCCTGCTCTGTGGTGGGCCTCACAGGTCCACAGTGTGTGGAGACAGAAGTCCCATTCATGGCGGCCACTGGGCCTGGGCCAGCGGAGCACAAATGCAGGCCTTACAGCAAAAGAGCAGGAGCACACGGGCCAAGAAAAAAATCAGCCCATGTTTCTCCTCAGGTGGGAGCAGTGGGCAGTGGGGGAAGCTGGGGCAAGCTCTGGGGAGGCGTTTGTTTGGCAGAAGGGGGGCCTTCCTAGGGACGGGCGGGCACGCAGGAGAGGCTCCAAGCGCCGCAGCCAGGGTCAGGAGCTGGGGGAGCGAGACTGTGCCCTGCCATCCGCCATCGTCCCTTGTGTCCGTGTCTCACATCCCGCTGTGGCCACCGCTCTGCCTCTCCCAGCTCTCCTTCCCCTCCACTGGCCTGTGGGGCCTGCAGGCCCTGCCCATGGTGGCCATGAAGAGTGTGCCGTTCCCCATCCTGGCTCTTTGGGTGGGGTACTGCTCTGGAGGGGCTCTGGCCAAGCCCACGGCCTCGCCAACCCGCATGGGCTTGCCCACCCCACCGGGGTCCCCCAATGGTGAGTAGCTGGCACCAGCAAGAAGGGGAGCCCCTGAGGCTACCCAGCTGATGTCCCCTTTGGAGATTCAGGTGAGGTCGGGAGGGACCTGCTGCCTTCAGAGAGCCCTCCCTGGAGGGCTGGGGGGAAATGCAGACTTGGGGGGCAAGGGAGGGGAGAGGCCTCCCTAGGAGTGGAGCTGCCGTGGAGCTGAGAGGATGGCTGAAGGTTTGCTGGATAGGGAGTGGGTCTGGGTGCCCCAAAACCTACTGGGGCAGGGAGAGTCTAGGAAGGCTGGAAGCATAGGGCCTGGTGGTAGGTGAGTAGCTGACCAAGAGAGGCTCAAGGGGCCCCAGGGCATAGGTGGTCGTTGTCTCTCTCACAGGCCAGAGGTCACAACTGTGCTTGGTGGCTCTGCCCTAGGCCTGAGGGCAGAGTAGGAGGGACTAGTTGGATGGTCTGGCCCCCACCCCCTGCAGACAGAACAGGGCCCCCCCCAGATTAAGGAGGAGCTGCCACTCAGTGGAAGGGAAGCACCAGAGATCACCTCTTCTTCCAGCGTGGCATCCGGGCATGCCTAACTCCCAAAAACTCCCCCGCAGCAGACTCGGGGGCTTCCGCCTCTAAAAGCAAACTTGTGTGTGGCCCCTGCTCATCACTGGACAGTGGGGGTGCTGGGGCAATGCCCTGCTCCCTACACCCCTACCCTCTGCCCGGGACTACTGAAGCTCTCTTGGCCCACCCCCACGGGCCAGGGGCCAACCTGTGCCTTGTCCCAACAGGCCAGGAGAGCCAAGGACGGTCAAGAGCAGCCTCAACTCTAAGAGGGCGGCAGGGCAACTGGGTGCCGCTGGCCTGATCATGACATTGGGTGCTCCCAGCATAGAAGAGAGAGGCAGGGGAAGGCCTGGGTAGAGGGAGGGGTGGCGGACTGACCAGCACCCGACAGCCCACCACACTGGCTTCCTCTACAGGTCATGT